CTGCATTCGCCTTTGTTTCCTTCTTCCACCAAGTGAAGACACTAAACCACAAGAACGGAAATGTAATTCGTCTGTCTGTTGTTCACCTCATTTTGTGAATTACCATCTGCACGCTATGGATTTCCGACACTAATATTTTTATTCTTTTTCTTTGTGTTTGTGTGTCACGAAAGAAGAAAATAACAAAACAATCATGTAGGGGTCTGCCTTAATGATTGCTTTTATCACCGTTAGTAAAGATTGTCTGTCTCGTATTTCACAAGAAATTGTTTGGAAATCGGCAATAAAACAGAGACACGGTTATGAAGAATTCAACTAGCCACTCTTTTGTTGTCTAATCCTAAAGAAAGAATATGTTTTGGAGAAACGACACGAGCAGTTATGTTTTATTTGTTCTGACACGAACAAGGCTATTATGATTGTCTACTTATTTTTGATATCCAACTAAATTGCCTAAGAAGAGAAACATTGTGAACTACAAGGCAACCCAGGTCATTCAGCTTGTTCGGAAACAATCACGCCAAGATGAAACGTCTATTTTTTTTTAAATAGACTAAATTGTTAGAACTCCTAACCATAGGCGTATTTGTTTTCTACATTTCTCCTAGCATTAAAACACTTTTCTTTTTCTTTCTTTACTTGGATTTCTTACACTCATGGGATTTTGCGTCTTGTAGCCTGGTTAAAAGTTTACCGTCGTTTCAGAGGTGCTTGATGCCTCAGGGTGAGACCCTGATGATACGCGTTTCAGTGGTAACTTTATGGTCAAAACCAAAATCTAATATCAAAGTAAAATGTGTCCACGAGTTATGTAGTGTTCACGGGAAATAGCAAACGGTATAACACACGTAAGCAGGTTACGTCCAGTCCCTTCTAAAGACTTACACATTCACTATTCACAACCATCTACTTCTAGATATAATTTCGCAACCCCCACGGACAGAGAGACGACCTGATAAGCAAGTCAGGTTAGTCAGTGACCCGGAATAGATTAGAACCTGGTACCGCCTGAAGACAAATCGGTCACATCACCACTGTAACAACCCGTTTGTCGTCACCAGTGTGAAATGAAGAGCTCACATGCATCGCCTCCAAGTGTCAGTCCTGCCTTTACGTGTATTTCAAAAAAATAGCGTACATATGTTACCATAATCCCACTGAAATGCGTGATTCATTAGCTAACTGCTTCCAGCAGATCGGAAAGGGAGATTGAAACACAAGCGTTTATATATTCAAACCCCGACATATAATATCTTTATGGAAAACTCATTTGAATCAATTCCAAATTGAAACAAACGAGTGAGGCGCCGGGTAAAGAGATCAGTTGTCATGGCAACCCGTCCGGCGTTTGTCTGGTTATTAGAGGAGGGTGAGTATGACAGAAAACAGCACCCCCAACTGTTCCTCATGCCTAGTGACGGCAGAGGCCTGCAACAGATCACATACGTCCCCCTTCAAACAGCAGCGCTATATCGTGATAAGGCCCACACTTAACAGCGACAATGCTAACTAAACGTGACTTAGTAATTCTATAGTTGAGACCAGGACATAAGCAAACACGTGAGACGGAATAGGCGTCATAAAGGAAAAATCAAAACACATGAACAAATTTCGTACTGGTGTATTCTGAGTTTGAACCTCTATTAAGCACAAGGGATTTTTGTTTTTTTCAGAACGGAACATTACAAGTGTGGAGGAAATAATAAAAGCGAGAGAGGACGTTGTTTTTTTTATTTAACAATGCTTTACCAATTACATTGTGTTTGAATGACGAGTTATAAAGAATGTGAAAGGAGAAAACCCTGGAACTGTTTAATCACTCGCCTGGAGATACAAACAAACAAAATTGGA